AAAATTTCAAAGGCACAACCTTTTCCTACACAAGACTGCATCAGGGATAAATATTAATGCATTCCATCTTCAGAACAATTCTGCAAGATAGGTATGACAAGCCCCTTCTTACAGATATGGTTTAACCACCTGCACAAATTCACATGGTAAGGGGATGATCCCAAATTCAAACTCAGGGCTGCTTCGATCTTTCACCTGCATCATGCAGCCTGCTATAAAAGCATACTTGAAATAAAGGTGGTGACATATTAGTGGGTTTGAATAGGTTTTTCAGATCCTCCATAATCTTTCTAGCCTCTACTATCCTTACTTTAACCAACCTTCCATTTTCCTGGGGAGTTTTGTGCTATACAGACATGCAGATCATGTGTGTACTTGCTGAAGTTTTAGTTTAAATAGCAACTAACATGATTAAGCTCCTGTAGTCTCTTTCACAACAGTTCACCAAAGTCCCAAAGGAAAAATAATGTAACTCAAACATTGCATTACCATAGAAAAAATTAAACAGCCACATGCACACAGTGCCGTATTAAAAGCTGTATAACATGATATTATTCTGCCTCTGGAAGCAAACTACCTGAAACAGATATTCAGAAATGAGCAGAGGTATATAAAACATGCCTAATTAAACAACCAGCCAACCAACACAAAGAAAAGTTCACATACTATGCAAACACAAGATAGAGTGACAGTGGGTATGACATGCCTCACTGGGACTGGTCCTGAGGAAAGCTGTCCCTATATTAGTGGAAAGCTTGCAAAAGGAGGACTTCAGATTTGATTGAAAGAAAAATCAGATGATGACTTTTAAGAAAGAAAGTCCAATAGATTCATAATGCTTCATTAAACTTTCTATCTCCACTGTCGGCAGAGTCTCTGGCATATAATTCTACTAAATAAATGAGGGAGGGAGGAAGAGAAAGAGAGAGGAAATGAACTCAGGGTATTCCAGTCATGCCATCATTCTCTGTAAGAATGAAAGGTAAGGTCCCTCTGTTACATTTTACCCATAGCATTCTGGCCCTCCAAGTTTGCTGGAACACTCAACACACTATCTATCTATATCTATATCTATATCTATATCTATATCTATATCTATATCTATACCTTTAATTGCATGAGTGAGTGAGTGTGTGTGTGTGTGCACGCATTCTACCTTCAGAGGTAAGTTCCCTGAAGGCAAGGACTATGCTTGTCTTGGTCTCCATTACACCCCTAGCACCAAGTACCTAGATCACTTCTTAAGACTCTAAGAAGTTGTCCTTTGCTGCCACCTCTGGAGTGCCAATGCTGGGGATGGTGCCTCGAACATTCCACATAATATCTCCAAATGTATGGACCATTGAAGGTAACTAATCCTGTAAACAAGAAAGCATTCTAATCGTTTCCTTTCTCCAAGTATAAACACTGCCCCTTAAGAGCTACACTGATTCGGTGCATCAAAAAATAAGGCTTTTTTCCTATTATTTTCCATATGATTTAGTGACCCCTCCTGGAAAACATCTGGGAGAAAACAACCATGTGTTATTTAACATCTGTGAGAAATCTCTTAAAAATAAACAAATCCAGAAATAGTAGGAGATGACTACCACCAGGATCCTTTAGCTTAAACAAATATTTTCCTTACATTTGCTCATTAATATCCATGAGATGCTGCATGGGAGAGTTAATCATTTAAAGTGACTGAAGATAGACACTGGCAAGTGTTAGCAATTCACATGCCACTACCGCTAATTCACATGCTGCTTTTCCATGAAGTCCATTTTTTTTAATTTTTATTTTTCAATTACAGTTGACATTCAATATTATTTTATATTAGTTTCAGATGTACAGCAAAGTGGTTAGATAATCATATAATTTGCGAAGTGGTCCCCCCAACAGATGAAGTCTCCTTTTCACTCAGGAATTTTACATTAAACTCTCTCCAAAAGAGTTGAAACACTTTCAGGGAAAACATGATAAACCTAGTCTTTATTCAATTAGCCAATATAAAATATAAACCTTCAAATGCCCCTTGCTATCTATTAGAAGTGCTAGCCCTGGAAGGGGCAGTCTCTCCCTATTCAGAAAAGTATTTAAGGTGTCAAAACACCAAACTATATAGAAAATAAAAATTACAAGTACTACAACAGAACCATGTACACCAGTGATGGCGAACCTTTTGAGCTCGGCGTGTCAGCATTTTGAAAAACCCTAACTTAACTCTGGTGCCGTGTCACATATAGAAATTTTTTGATATTTGCAACCATAGTAAAACAAAGACTTATATTTTTGATATTTATTTTATATATTTAAATGCCATTTAACAAAGAAAAATCAACCAAAAAAATGAGTTCGCGTGTCACCTCTGACACGCGTGTCATAGGTTCGCCATCACTGATGTACACACATTCTGCTTATTAAGAGGAGATTTAGCAGCCTCATTCTGTACCCCTCAATTCATGACAGAGGAAAAGAGACAGCAACTTAGAAGAAATCAACTTCCCAAATCCACTCAGAATGTTGAATGTGACAGTTCTGCTCTCAGATTATAATTGGGACATGCAAAGCTTTTATGGGCACAGTAAAGGGGGAAGGTGGTATGAAATGTCAACAAGGGTAGAAATGGCAAGTTTTCACTGCCTAAAAAGCAACAGTCTACAACTTCTGGGGAAACATCTGCAGGAGAAAGCACAGAAAACAATTCAGCATCAAAAAACATCACTGAGCTTGCACCCTGTCTCACAGAGAGCTATAATGCAAGGCATGTCCTTTCCCAAACTGCCATGTGGAGGAACGACCATCTCTAGGAACTATACATCTGAACTATACAACTGGCTCCACTTCCAAACAAACACACTGTCTTCACTTCTTTCATGGAGGCCCACAATATGAATTCCCTGCTTTAGAACTGAGAAGAAAGATGTCTACAAGTGCTTAGAGCAACCTGATTTAAGATTTATTTAAAATCAAGAATAAGCAATTTTAACTTGACGCACACTTTTTACAATACCTCTGGGCTACCCCAAGTCAACGTACCCCTCCATACAACCCTTCTCCACTACCTTCCCCTCTCACATACCAAGCATGGTGAAAGCACCTGGAACTTTCTTTTCTTTACAAATTATATTTATATCTCTTGCATTTGGAGTCTAGTTACTTAACAATAAATAATAACAGTTAGCCCTGGCCAGTGTTGCTAAATGGTTAGAGCAGTGGTTCTCAACCTTCTAGCCCTTTAAATACAGTTCCTCATGTTGTCACCCAACCATAAAATTATTTCCGTTGCTACTTCATAACTGTAATGTTGCTACTGTTATGAATTGTAATGTAAATATCTGATATGCAGGATGGTCTTAGGCGACCCCTGTGAAAGGGTCGTTCGACCACCAAAGGTTAAGAACCGCTGAGTTAGAGACCAAAGGGGTCGCGACCCACAGGTTAAGAACCACTGAGTTAGAACATTGACCAGAGTGCCAAAGGTCGAGGGTTTGATTCCTAGTCCCAGTTTGGGATTGTGTGGGAGGCAACCAATTGTTTGTCTCTCTCTCTCATACACACCTCTCTCTCTCTCTCTCTCTCTCTCTCTATCCCCCCCTCCCCCACCTTACTCCCTCCCTTGCACTCTCTTTAAAAAGTAATGGAAAAAATATCCTCGGGGAAGGATTAATAATAATAACAACAACAATAGCTAATACTTGTTGAGCATTTATTATTTGGCATTCTGCTAAGTATTTTTATATGCATTTTCTTCTTGAATCCTTACAATTCTAGGAACTAGGTACTATTTCCATCTTAATTTTCCAGATAAGGAAATCGAGGCCCCTGAGAGATTAAATAACTTGCCCAAGGTCACATGGCTGCTGAACAAAGTCAAAATTTAGATCCAGGTTGCTGGAATAGAGAGCCAGAGTTGTAATGACTAAACTGCTAAAGAGACAGTTATTTCCATGAACTTCTCAGCCCAAAAGGGCATGTTCTCTGCCTGGAAGCTCCAGCAGCCTCCAGCAGCCACAGTGTAGACACACATCCTGGCACCAGTAGGGGTCCCACACCTGCCACATGCAGAGGGGCACACCCCAGGTGGTACTCCATTTCTGGATCCCCTAGAGCTGGGGCTAAGCGGCCACAGATAACGTCTCAAGGAGGAGGAAAGTACTGGCTTATCAAAATGGTGTGGCTTTTCCATTTAATAAAGGGGAGAAATTAAGTGGCATTACAGGAGAATCATGCTGGGATTTAAGGATCTTCCTGCTAGCACTGCTGATCTTGAACAGATAGCTCAAATAAGCTGAGCACATGGCTTTCATTGAAAGAATTAACCTGTTGCCAAGGAAAGTGTCTCTAAGAATTGGAATGTTGTCAAACTAGCTTAACACCACGAAATGGTACAACTTAATGAGACACTATAAATCTTGAGGAATAAAACACAGAGTTCTCTCTCCAAAGACTGTGATTTCACAAGTGGGTTGCTATTGTCCCTGGGTGGGCGCACATGCACACACACACACAAACACACACACACACACACACACACACACACACACACACACACGGGTAGGTGAAAAGCTGTAACTAAAAGCTGACATTTTTTTTTAATTGAGGAGAATGCCCCCCCCTTCCCTTTATGCAATTCCTTTTGAATCATTTTATTGAATTTTAAAAGTAAACATTTCTTTAAAGTAAACAAATCTCAAATAGCTGATACAGTCATGTTAGAGTCAGTTTTATTTAAACATCTATTCAACCTCCTGAGACAGAACACACATTCCTAAGACAAGGAGCCTTCACACTAAAATAAAACCAACCAACCAGCGGCTCAGTGCTGAACCTAAAAATGTGGGGAGGAGACACTGATCCTTAAAAATCAGCAACAAGCCTGAGTCTATTCCCAAATGAGTATTAAAAGGATGGAGAAGGAGAAGAGGGGAAGGAAAACAGGAAATTTTGACTGAATGGAAAAGATACTATATCCAAATTCAGTAGTATTTGTTCCTGGGAAAAGTGTGACAGCTACTCACCTGTCTACTGCTTCTACGTCAAAGCAAAACCTCTTCTCAATAGAGTCTGTTTTCCGCCGGATGCAGGATTTGAGAGTGACCGACTCGTCTTCTCCCTGTTAGGAACACACAGACCATCAAGATGAGGCCAGTTTATGGGCTCTGCTTCCCTCCAGAACAAACATGCCCCATGGACAGGAGTGATCATTTCCTCTTCTCAAACCTGAATGTTCATGACCACAGGAAGTAAATGGTTGATCATAAACCTTCTCAGATGGCTAAAATTTGTCAACCATGTTCTTCTTGGAGTCAAATGTCTTTAGTACTGGTAGATCATGATGGTCCAGCATCAACCTCTGTTACATTAAATTCTTGTGATATTATTTTAAATAGGCTTAATTTGTAGGTTTGACATGAGTCAAAACAAAATGACCTTGAGGTTTCCTCCCAACTCAGCTTTTTGAATCTTGGTTCAGTTGTCACTTCTTGGGAAAGTCAAATACTCTTACACATGTTCACACGGCACCATGTGCCTCTTCCTCCCTCAGAGCACTGATCACAGCTGAAATTTTCCATAGATCTGAGCAATGACTCAAATGACATCTCTTTCTTCATTGGACTGTAAGCTCCCTGAGGAAAGGGACTGTGCCTGCTTTTGCTTACTCTTGTATCCCCAGAGCCTAAACAGGCCCCAGAACAGAACAGGCACTCAACCAATGTTTTAGCAGATATATTGAGATATAACTAATGTGTAATAAATTGCACACGTTTAACATGTACAATTTATGAGTTTTGATGCCTATATACATCCATGAAATCATAACCACAATCAAGCTAATGAACATACCCATCACCTTCAAAAGATTCCTGCTGTCCCTTTGTAATTCATCCCTATACCAAGAAAACATTGAATGTGCTTTCTGTCACACCCTATAGATAAGTTTGCATCCTATATAATAAAGAGCTAATATGCTAATTAGACCGAACAGCAGAACAACCGTCCGGGCGACCTTCAGAATGACCTCCCGGATGAAGCCGGGGCTGCAAGGGCCAAGCTCTATGCTAATTAGACCGAACAGCAGAACAACCGTCCGGGCAACCTTCAGAATGACCTCCCGGATGAAGCTGGGGCTGCAAGGGCCAAGCTCCTTGCATGAATTTTGTGCATCGGGCCTCTAGTATTCTATAACTTTACAAAAATGGAATGCCCTTTTATGTCTGACTTCTTTCACTCGGCATAATTCTTTTGCAATTCATTCATGTTGTGCGAATCAAGAGTTTATTTCTTCTTATTGCTGAGTAGTACTCCATTGCACAAATGGAATGCTGTGGTTTTATCATACAGCACTAATTTCTTCTCTTTCTGTCATGTAAGAATTTGTTAAGGATCCTGTTTCTCCTGCCTGTCCCAATCTTTCTTTTTCTAAACTAGGGAGGAAGTTAGTAAACTTGCCTAGTCTGTTGAAATAATAGGAAATGTGACTGCATATGGTAAAACTAACCACGCTCTAATATCCGAATAGTACACAAAACACAGAAGACCTAGGAAGAGATAGTTTACTAGTATATTCACAGCCTTACATCTATTGGGTTTTACTGAATAGCTAAGATTAAGTTCTCAGATTGAGAACTGCTCCTTCCACACTGTGAAAATGAATGAGTATAAACGCCCAAATACAGGGGATTCTGACTCTGCTGATGTCTGACTATATTTCAGATTGAATGGACCTGGACCAGCTTCTACTTCGAAAGCTTATAGAGAGGTGTCCCTGGTAAATGGGAGGGAACAGGGGATCTATAAAATATTGTCAAATATAAGAAAACAGAAGATTCTGTTCCAAGGATGACCATATCATAACAAGAAAAATATATAAAGACAATGTGTTCAACTACCGATGGTTTTAAAAAAGTGGGGGATGCAGGTGATAATCACTTAAACAAATAAATGAAAAGTTAGAAGTGACAAAAACTAAGTTGTGTTACAAAAGCCTAAATTAAGGAGATTTGACCTGGTCAAGAAGGTCAGCAAAGGTTTTCCTGGGCTTGGACTTGACGGATTCATGAGATAAGACCAGCCTTGGGGATGAAGAAGAGCAGGTGGAAAAAACCTGTGGTCAGTCCTTGGGTCCCTAAAGGAACTGAGGGAAGCTAGTGTGGCTAGAATTCCAGAGCAAGAGGGAAAGTGGAATGAGAAAGGGTTTGAGGGATGCAGCGGCAAGATCATGCAGATTGTGGTCTGTATGCTGAGCGCTGTGGGGAAATAATGAAATATGTCAAACGAGGGAAGGAATAGGGTCAGCTTTGGGCTGCTGCACACCTCCTGCAGAGAGGTGCCTCCTCTCAGACTGCAGGATGCAGGGAAGTCTCTCTCACCAGAGAGAAAAGATGGATCACATACTAGTAAAAGGGAAATGCATGCAGTGAGTACGCCCAGGAAAGGAGAAACCCTGGAGCACAGCAAGGAGCTCCCAACGCAGTGACCCATGGAGCCTGATGCAGCCTGACTGAGTTCCAAATGTGGCCACAAGAACTCCAGCCCACCCACTCTTCACACTCCTCCTCCCACTGGGAGGCAGTGTCTGCATCCTCTCCCACTGATATTAGGTGGATTGGGCGGGCTTTTGTGACTGTTTCAAAAAAACAGATAGGACAAAAGTAAGGTAATATGACTTCGAAGAGTAGGTCATTAAAAAGCAATGCAGGCTCTGTTTTCGTTGCTGGAATATTCACTCTTTAAACATTTAGCTGCCCAGTGGCCACCATGCTGTGAGGAAGCCCAAACTAGCCCACACAGAGAGACCAGATAGACGGGCCCTGAGACTCCAGAGAAACAGGGAAGAGAGGAGGTCAGGAAAAAGAAAGAAAGCTATTCTCACTGGCCTTGAGCTGCTTCAGATGCTCATTGTTCCAGCTAGAGTCACCATCTGATTGGAGCCCCAAGAAAAACCCTGAGTCCAAACCACCAACCAAGTGCTCACCAAATTCCTGATGCACAGAAACTGTGAGAAACGCTAAGAAGATTGGTACTGTTTTAAAAGTTGCTCAGTTTGGAGGTGATCCGTTACACAGCAACAGATAACTGGAACAGCTAAGCTGCCAAATGGCAGCCCTGTGAGTATCAAGTGAGAGTGATGCAAATCAGTTTCACAGGGTGAGGTCACCCAAGAATTTCTAGCAGCTAAACACATTTGACACACTTAATCCTGCATATATGTGAAATACAAGAATCTTTCTTAGTTGTAATTTCTAATATAACTTAGAGCTAAGAATCATCTTGTGTAAGTTACTTTTTAGGGTACTATACCTCCTGGAACTACTGTATAAAAAGTAGGAAAATTAGAGTGAAATATTGGAGGTGTTACTTTATATACGCATTGTCGTTATTTGTTAGTCAAGCAAATCAAGCATGAAATTTAAAAAAATTAACTCACCCCCTTTCCTCCTGACTTTTGGTCAAATGGTACCATGGTGATCTGTTTGGAATCCCGCTGATATGTACAGTAGTGCTTCACCCAAGAGGTTCCAAAGTGACCTGCAAAGTAATATTTCCCATAAAACAACTACATATGTCCACTGTGTGCCGGGAAGACACACAACCCATAACCCACAATGCTCACCTACCCTTAACTTGTTTCTAGGGGCACTATATTCCCCACACCAGCTAGACTGGAACAGGCAGAAATCTGATCCCACAGACTGGAAATGGAGCCTACCCAGGGCTTTCCCCAGAGACCAAGGAAGACTGTTTCCCACTAAATGCTACATCCAATGGGTCTTAAAATGTAAGGGAAGTAGAGGTTCCCTGGGGAAATTAATTCACTTTCCCATCATCAATCTCCATTTGAAGTTTTCTGTCTCTCCCCTGACAGGAGTAAGATGACTGAGGAAAGAACACAGAAAGGCTCCTCAAAGTGCTTGTCACCGCTCCCATCTGCTGCAATGACTTCATGCTTCCCACACAGCTGCTCTGCGACTATGTGCACAGACAGACAGGAGACTCTGACCTACTTCCAAGCCCCTAATTTTCACGTTAGCAGAACTCAAGAAGACTGAAAAGCAGGCAAAGAAAATGCAGAGACACCCAAGATACAGAATGGAAGTAACTGTAAGTGCCCAAATGTAACCTAAGGACTCTCCCTCAAAATTATCCCTCAGGAAAGATGGAGATGCCCCCCCCCCCCCCGCCCCGCCTACAGTCAAAGTCTGACTAAGTCTCTGATTTTACCCAGTGCTTATTACTTTATTAGCCTACAAGGACCTCAGTCAATACTAGTTTAAATGCTTACAGAATCACATAACACAAGTTGTGAAAAAATAATTATAATATGAATAGAGATTCTGCAGACATTTAATCATTATTTTTCAGGGTGTGACTGACCATTATAAGTATTGGAGATTACTTAGTAAACTTAAAAAGCAATACGGTAAGTGTCTACATTAGAACATCAGAGTCAAATGAAAATACTAACCATTCTAATGTATCTTTTGTGGATTCAAGAAAAAAATTCAGTGATAGCACAACACAAAGATTCCAAAAGTGCTTGTATCTTGGACAATTTGAGCATCAAAACAAATAAGGACAGTACTGAATTTAGCCTATGAATAAAATGGGAATCCATGAGTCCATACTGACAACAGAAAGATAGATGGGTGAATGGGCAGATGGATGGGTGGGTGAATAGAGAGATAGTAAAGGAGAAAAGGAGGGAGGGAGGAGGAGGGAAAGACGAAGGGAAGGAGGGAGAGAGAGGCAAAGTGAGGTCACTTCCTTTCAATATACTAAATGGCAACTGATAAATGTGGAGGAGTGGGAGAGCTGAGAAATCACCATTTTGCAACCACCATAGTAAAGATCAGTTCAGGGAGGATTTTCAATGGAAGCTGAGTCTATGTGGGAAGTGGGTGGGGATATTGACGTGGTCTTAAGCTATTTCCCCACAGACTACTAATTAGTTACAAGGGAAAAATAGTGACTGTACAGGGAAGAAACCAGACAGTACCTTAACTGGGTAATCAAAATTTACATCACCACTGAGGGGCAGATGGCCACAGAGGAGAACACAGTGTTACCTGTGTAGGATATAACCAGGGACACATAATCTGAATCTAATCTTGAGGAAACATTAGCTGAACCCACACTGAAGAATTATATATATTCTTCAAAAATGTCATGTCATAAAAGACAAAGAAAAGCTGAGGAAGTGTTCCAGATAAAGGAAACTAAAGTCATAACAACTAACCACAGTATGAGCTCCTGCCCTGGAGAAAAACAAAATGCTGTGTAAGGGTATTTATATGGGGACAACTGACAAAACTGGAATAGACAGTGTCATTTATATTAACTATCTTATCAATGTTAAATTTCCTGCGTATGATAACTATGGTTACATAAAAGAATATCCTTATTTTTAGAAAACATACACTGAAGTAAAAGAGCATGGTATATGCAACCTGTTCTCAAATGGTTCAGAAAAAATTAAAATTGTGTGTGTATCTGTGACTGTGATGTGCACACACACACACACACCCATACAGAGAAAGAATGATATAACTGTGGGAAAATGATAAAAATTCATGCATCAGGCTAAAGGTCATACTGTTGTTCTTTACAGTATTCTTGAAACCTTCTTTAAGTTTTGCATTACTCCAAATAATGTTGCAAAAACTTTCCAAGAAAAAATAAAGATGTATCCCAATGATATGCTCCAGGCTACTGTGTTAGAGAAACAAAACGTGGATCCAATGATAATCAAGACATTAATGCTGAAAGAGCACGTGAAGTGTTTGAATAAAATTGTACAATATAATGTGAGAGTGCAAAAAAGCAATACTGATTTTACCTATGTAAGTGCATAATATTAATAAATTAAGTATTATAAGTAGACATTGGACTATATTTTTGCAGTCCTAAGAATTTATATTTTCAAATTCACCTTAAATTTGGGGGATAGATCTTCTCACTGGGCAAACAAGGCATCCCCTTACATCAGGCATATATGAAACACAGAACTAAAGTAGCTTGTTCCTACAAACCTCAACAAGCTGGTCCCTGTAAGAATAAGGAACATGAAGTTCTCATCACAACCAATGCTCCAGCCCCACTACTGCCCCCATTGTCAACAGGGAACAATTTTAAGCCCATGCAAATGTTTAGTAATCACTGAACAGAATAATCACTGAAACCAAGTGTTCTGCTTCTGCTCCATCGGGAAGCTTCCAGGATGAAGACATTTGTCTAACCCAAAATCAACAGAAGGACATAAAAGCACAAAATCAGGAAAAATCTGGGAGAAGTAATGTGTGCAGCCAAGAAAGCAGGAGTAGGAGACTAGGAGAAAAGCTATTCATTAAGGAAAACAATTTGCTATCTTGTCCCCCTAGCATTGCTTGCATGCATCAAGCCTGGGAGTGCACAGCCTCATCGGTCATAAAGCCTTCCCCCAGGCCTAGGGCATGAATTTGAATCATCACTGAACACTCCATGTCACCAGCATGTCTCTCCTGACATCGCACCAGTAAAGCAATGATGAGTCTTCTTCCTGGCTCTGGGAATGAGCTCTTGTTTCTACTTTTCATAAAATGTAAGTGTTGGGATGACTTGAGGAGAAGAGGGAAAGCACCATGGTTGTTTGGGCCTTGCTCAAACAAGTCTCAAATGAAAACAAAATCACTAAATAGGAAATCCCACCAAAGGATATGATTGCTAATGGAAAATTAGGTCTACCAGGCAAGATTTTCCCAAGTCTTCCATGCCAAAGGGATGGTGTTTAAAGCTAAACTAAGGGGACAGGCACCTCAAGAGTCGAGAGACATGAGGGAGAAAAGAAGCACCACTGAACCTCAATGCATTCCAGTTACAAAGAAAACAGAACACGTCCCTTGGCTGTAGACAAGACTTGTGGACACCACCCTCCCCCTAGGAAACTGAACTATGAAAATACTCTCATTCACCCAAACCTGTGTTTATAAAACTTTTGGCCAGGCACCACTGGACACACCCTTCACCTTGTGGGCAAAAGCATGAGCACACCCCAAGCTGTTGGTCGCCACAGGCACTCACGTTTCTCCTGAACATAGAGGTACCCTTCCATGGTGTAGGGACTGATGGTCTTGTGCTCAAGGGGATTCTCCTTCATTTTTTTCATCAGTGACTCCACTTCTGACCTGGTGCCTTCAAAGCGATTTCTTGTCTAGGATGAAAGAAATTATATTCAAATCAAAGAAATAAAACCCTCTTCCCACCTCTGACAATTCAGAACCTCAACCAATAGAATTCTTATATCTAAAAATCAGATCATTTAGTTCTAAAGTCAGCCATCTAAGAATTAGGCAAATATTCAAGAAGTTACTTTAGCCTTAAGGTCCTCTACCAGATTGTCTCTCAAACTCTAAGGACCATCAAAATCACATAAGAAACTTGGAGTAAATGTAAATGCCCAGGCCTCACTCCTAAAGATGAAATGAGTACCTCTGGACCCAGATATGTGTATTTGAAATGAGCATCCAAGGTGATTCTGCTCCACAGGAGGGCCTGCCCCCAGCTCCCCTCAGGCCTGAGGGGCTCATCCTCCAGCTGCAGGCAATGTTGCTGGCTGATATCTCAGATGGTTCCCTCCTCCAAAGGGAGCTGCCTCACTGAGGGATACTCCCTTCCCCAGGGCAGCCTGTACCCACCCAATGACTAGTCTGGGGACAAAAGGGGAAGATCTCCTTGGTTCTATTCCCACAGCTCCAAAGGCCATCCCAGCTCCAGGGCACCAGGGCATGGACTGAGGCCTCTGCCTCAACTGTATCTCAGCTCAACCTCTCCTGCAGGGGCCTCACTCTCTCACAGGCATTTCTGCCGACACTGCTCCCTGTACACCTGCTACATGTAAATCTCCACTTCCGTTGGCCCTCTGAGGAAGCCAGCCAAAGGGGAAGCCATGCTTTGTGAAACCTTTTCCCAGACTCTGCAACTTCCTGTTCTCTCAAAAGACACAGAGAACCATGTCAGAGCGAGCTGCAGGCTTCCAAAAGCCATGCAATACAACCCACATGGATGCATTTGGTTTCTTTTCTCCATAGGATCCTCTAGAGCAGTGGTTCTCAAACTTCCTAATGCCGCGACCCTTTAATACAGTTCCTCATGTTGTGGTGACCCCCAACCATAAAATTATTTTCGTTGCTATTTCATAACTGTAATGTTATGAATCGTAATGTAAATATCTGATATGCAGGATGTATTTTCATTGTTACAAACTGAACATAATTAAAGCATAGTGATTAATCACAAAAACAATATGTAATTATATATGTGTTTTCCGATGGTCTTAGGCGACCCCTGTGAAAGGGTCGTTCGACCCCCAAAGGGGTTTCAACCCACAGGCTGAGAACCGCTGCTCTAGAGACAAAGACAATGTACATACTAACATGGCCAGATGTAATTAAGAAGGGGGCTCGGGCCCCAGTAACTGCTAACCAAAGAGCCTTAGGCAGGATTCTGAGCACCAAGAGGCCCTGCTGTGTAAGCCACACTGACTTGGATTTTCTCTCAGCCTTACTAAGAGTTGAACAAGAGCACACCCTTTGAGCTGGAGGTCAGCATGTGTGCCCCACCCCCACTCCTAAAAACACACACACACACACACGCACTCTCACTCACTCCAAGGTCTCCTGTGGCCAGGCAGCTAGATGCACAGAAGGGGGGCTAGGAAGGGCAGGGCAGGGCTGGGCTGGGCTGGGCTGGGCCGGGCCTTCCACTGCCAAAGGAAATCCTGACTCTGGTGCTACAGATTTAAAACATAATCAGCAGCAGCACTTCCGAAAACATAAATAGTGCTTTGAAATAATAGAGAATAGGATGATGTTCTAATCTGTGGCCACCAAGACCCTAGAAAAGCCTGCCCCCATCTGCCCTTTGAACCAAGCAAACCACCCCCCCTTTACCTGCATTCCATCCCAGATAAGTGCTCTCTATGCAACCAGACCCATAATTTGTTTTGTCCTTTCCTTAACCAAGGAAAGGAAGTCTGTCCCTTTGCCCACTCACGTTCTGTATGCTAATGGTCAGCTGCATCTTGAAGTCGCTGAAATCCTTGGCCAGTTCATAACCATGGTGATAGAAAGTGAAGAGTCCTTGCAAGAATGCCAGTAGCTGCAATGAGGTAGAAAGGCAGAGTTCACCACATAAGTAGGCCAAGGAGGTTATTATGTTGTATCTGAGTTCCCAACCCCGATTGAAAATCTAGAATTAAGTAATAAAATGGCTATCACTTACTGAGCACTATTTGTATTCCAGACATGGTAACTTTATGTGCACTGTCTCACTGAGCACTCACAGCAACCTATTAGGTAAGTACCACCGTTACCTTCATTTTAATAATTAGGAAGTCAAGTAACTTGCCCCAAAACACACAGCAAGTGGCAGCCAGGATTTGAAGCCAGATCTCCTTGATACCAACACCCAAGCTCTTACCCTGTGAGCCTCACCACCTCTTAAGATAAACATTTCGTCAGAAAAGTGAAGACCAGAGCTCCAAGTTAGTCTTTTCCTAATATGTTTGTAATACCAGGTTACTGTGCAGAAGCGTGTGGTTACATTGATAATCAACAAGAGAAGGAGAAAAGGAAGCTGGTATGTTCTGAGTCTGAAGTCTAACAGGCAAAGTCAAACCAAAAAAATCATCCAGGTCAGACTTCAGCTCAAGTGTGCTTCTCAACTTTCCCTCAACTATTCAAAAGTAAGCACTATGGATTCCTTTATTAAAATACTCCCATGTTCCCACATTTTCAGGTACAAAGGTTTCCCTAAATTCTCATTTAAATTGCCTTGGGATAAAGGTAAACCCATTCATTGTTCAGTCTTGTCTTTAATGAAGAGTGCAAACATCTGTTCACTAAAATTCTTATAAGAGGCCTTCATATACTTAAAAACTATTCATGTCCCTGCCCCGGGCCCCTGCCAGCCTTCCCTTCTCCAGCGGAATAAGCGTCCCTGTGGTCTCTTCTCTGAGCCTAGGTGCAAGCCTCACTGTTTTAGGCTGCCCTGGCCCCTCCCCGAGTTCTACACACCTTGCCTCAGTTCCAAACCTCAATCTGAAAAAGGATTATAGTCAGAGCCTGAACGAGGTTTAGAACAGTGGTTCTCAACCTTCTGGCCCTTTAAATACAGTTCCTCATGTTGTGACCCAACTATAAAATTATTTTCGTTGCTACTTCATAACTGTAATGTTGCTACTGTTATGAATCGTAATGTAAGTATCTGATATGCAGGATGGTCTTAGGCAACCTATATGAAAGGGTCGTTCAACCGCCAAAGGGGTCGCCACCCACAGGTTGAGAACCGCTGGTTTAGAAGAACCAGAACCTCACCTCTATCCTAGGCTCAGTGCTACTGCATTTGGGGACCATATCCGTTCTAACTTGAACTTCAATGCTGACTCACATGTTCTAAATGGTCCACTCTGACCTCTCTGATCTGCCTCTACCACATGTTACATCAGACACAGTTGCTTTATTTTATGTTGTGTTTAGTTTTTCAGTCCCTAAACAAAGATACCTTTACTTATTAACTGTGGTCTCACTTATTTTCACCTAAGTCTTCTTTTCTAAGAGGCAGCCCTAATAATGGGGGAACTCATTCCACACCACTACTCTCCCACCGTGCTTGTGACAGAAATGGAAAGCACCAAGGTATGTGCAACGCTAACTGAGATCAGAGGAAAGACCTGTCTTTGGGCTGAGCCACAGGCCCAGCCCAGTTTATCAAAGATCTCCATACTGGGAAGTCAGACAAAATCCAGCTTACAACAATGTGGTACCTTGACTTCCCACTGCCACTGCCACTGCATCACTTATCCCCTGAGATACTCACGGGAGGAGGGGGGGGCGGGCATTGCTGGGTCCTCTGGCTGTAAAAAAAATCATCTAGTGGCACCACAGACAGATCCCTAACCTAAGTCAATGAATGGGCGGTAAGTTACATAGAGTCACCAAAGACTAATGATAAACTCTTTGCTTCAAGGGTGACCAAAGCCTCTGGACTTACTCTACGTAAAATACTTTCTTGAGAAGGCCCATACTTTTCCTTCTAGATGGCTCCAGAAATATACAAGAAGGGGCTCAGATGACAAACCTAGTGTCGATTTTCACAATGAAAACTGTTCTAGCTCTTCCCTCCCTGCTGTCCTTGAATGCTGTGCCCATCACTTTTCCAAGGCACTGAGCTATTCCCTACAGGAGAATAAAGCAGAAGATAAGCAGCTAGTTCTAAGGTCATTCCTCCTATTAACTCTGATTTATCCTTCCCTTAAAGTCAACAAAGCCTCTCTTGCTCAGAGTAATTAAATATCTCAAACAGCTCACTAAGATGCCACCTGGGCACACACACAAGCGTTCCAAAGGCAGAGTTACCTATATTTATTTTAGTCTTCACTTCCTTTGGTATCATGCCTGATCATCCATTTTTCTATAGAAAGTGATTCCTTAGACATTGCCACCTTTGGCCCATTTTCCCTTCTTTTTCCCCCACATAGCATCTTTTCTCTTTACCCCCACCTGCTGACATACCCTTCCTACAAACCGTATGAACCTTGAACCTATTACCCAGTGGGAAATGAAAGTCCATTCCGGGTGCCAGGCGAGGCCTGGAGAAGGGCTCTAGAGATGGAAAAATCTGTCTGCCTCAAAGAAATGTTTCTACTCAAACACACAGAGGAAGAGCTTGCTGCAGCCTCACCTGCTTGTCAGACAAAAGAAGCCAGCATGGCCACCCAGGCTCCTCCCTGAATAGTCACAGCACAACCAAGGACCTGCCAATAAAGACCTTCCCCACCTCCCTTTGCCTGCATCTCCATCATTTTGTTCCTCAGGAAATACCTGTTTTAAAAAAATCCATTCCTAGCTGACAACATTGATCTAATTTATTTATTTCTAAATAAGCAAAAACGTAACTCCTTTATTTTAGTGGGCTGCATCACTCTGGACTATCTGATACCTTTAGGTTGTTTCCATTCATAGAATAGAGTTACTGTTAAGGGTTAAATTGTGTCCCCACCCTCTATTACCCCGCCCCTCCAGCCAAAAGATATGTTTAAGTCCTGAGTACCAGTCCCTCAAAATGTGACTTTATTTAGAAATGGGGTATTTACAGAGGTAATCAAGTTAAAATGAAGCCATTAGGCCTTAATCTAAAATGACTGGTATCCTTACAAAAGGGACACAGAGAAATTGGACACAGAGAAACTCACAGGGAAGATGAGGGATAGGACAGATACATCTACAATTCGAGGAATGATGAATACTGCCAGCAAACCACCAGAAACTGGGAAGAGGAAAGGAAGGATCATCTCCCTGCAGGTTTCAGAGGGAGCATGCCCTATCGACACCTCGACCTTAGACTTCTTGCCTTTTAAACTATGAGGCAATACATTTCTGTTGCTCTAAGATACCTGGTTGTGGTACCTGGCTACAGGAAACCCAGCAAACTACTGTAGCTGCCAAGAAGCATTCATTCATACAACAAAGGACAGACAGTAGCGTGATGAAAAGCTGGGCTGGGTAGGCCATGAAACTGCCTTTAGCTCATCTTTTACAGGAGAACAAAAATGCTACCTACACTGGGTTGTGTACACACTGAGATCAGCTACGAAATGGGCTTAGATTAGCACACGAGTGCCAGCAGGAGATGCTCAGCAAGAGAGATAATCACACTGATGTGTTAGAAGATGCACTGTGCTAACAGGATCCAGGCCAGACTGGAGAAGGGGGAGGCCCAGGACAGGATGCAACAGACCAAAGAGAAAGAACGAAGACCTGCCATGGGGCAGGAGCAGTGAGAAATGATAGGAAGGCACAGCACCAACACTCAGGAGGTGGAACTCAAGAGGACACAGCGTCTGACACATGAGAATGAGTTCTCTGTAGCACTGGGTAACCTTCAATTATGAAAACTTGGGGAACAGACGGAGCAGGGCTTCACCTTCATGAAGTCAGTACATCATAATCTGCGATCCAAATGTCCAGAACATTTAGTACCTCAACAAGAAAATGAAGGCTTCCAGGGTGCACACACACAAAAATATGTATGTATAGTTCAGACCCCAGAAGTCTGATTTTTCTTCCTTGGAACACTAAAATTTTGTTTCTTTTTCTGAAGGTCAATAACATCCTGGTACGTGAAGTTACTTTCTAATAAACAAACATAGTCAATGGGCATGGGAGCTCCTTGAGTGGTCAGAAGATTCCTTTCATTGCAACCAACTCAAACTATAAATATCAACCCCATTTACTAAATGTGATCTTGAAGAAGTAAATAAATGTACTTCCATTCCTTCATCTGAACACAGATATAAAAATAGTACCTATCCTCCCAGACATTCTAAGGACTGGATGACAATGTAGGTAATGTATGTGATATCGGCACAGGACACACAGTTTCAGCCAGTATCAATTGTTACTTCATGTTCTTTTGTACAATGTAGGCCAGTGGCTCAAACTTTAATATGCAGCAGAATCACCTAAAGGACTTACTAAAATACAGATTACTGGGCCCCACCTGCCAATTTTGAGCTTGGGTGGAGCCTGAGAATTTGTATATCTAAGACTTTGAGAACCACTGATCTTGCCAGTGGCATTTTCCTTCCATGAGTCTCTTCTCCCTCTTCTCCACAGCTCCTGAAGCCACTGGCCTGTCTGGAAGCTGGTGTATTCACAAACAAGAAGAACTCCTGCAGAAAAGTGAAGGTTCAACATCTGCATCCTATACCCAGCCTCTCAACCGACCCATTTAATTTAATGTGAGCAAGTCTCTTCAATCTAACATGAGACCAGAATTATTTTTTTCATTAGGTTTCCAGGTGCCTCGCCTTTATGAGTTAAGGAACATCTGCAAACCACAGTGGTTTTCTACTCTTTCAATTGTTCTGGCACTTCTATACCATCCATCCTGTCCAACCTGGCACTAAACTGCCTGCTGCCTTGGCTACTCCTCTTCTGTATGCATCTTGCTTCCCCAGTGAGGCTGTGAGCTCTTCAGACACAGCTGCTGGGTCTTCAGCATTTCCTATGGTAATCAGTAAATAAATGCTTTTAGATTTACTAAAAAATAATGAACTAACTGCCCTAGCTGGTTTGGCTCAGTGGATAGAGCGTCAGCCTGTGGACTGAAGGGTCCCAGGTTCGATTCCGGTCAAGGGCACATACCCGGGTTGCAGGCTCGATCTTCAGTAGGGGGCATGCAGGAGGCAGCCGATCAATGATTCTCATCATTGATGTTTCCATCTCTCTCTCCCTCTTCCTTCCTCTCTGAAATCAATAAAAATATATTTTTAAAAAATAAAAATAAATATTAACTAGATGCTAATTAACAACTATCAATAAAATTGGGTGCTAATTAGATTAGCTCTGTTCTAAGCAGCTTACATGGACAAACTCAGTTAATCCTCATAACGTTTTTATATGGTTAAGGTGGTATTATTTACCCATTTTGCAGATAAGGGAACTGAGGCTCAGAGGAACAAATAACTTCCCCCAAGAATACACAGCTAGAAAATGGCTGAGTTGGGATTTAAATCTAGGCAGTCTGGCTCTAGAGCCCTTAACGATGATGCTACACTGTCTCTCAAAAGACTCAAGACACTGATATACTACAACAGAATGCCAGGACATAGAAGGATAAAACCTTGTATTCTTGGGGGGGGGGGGGGGGGAGGGAGAGACAAACAAATAGGAAAAGGAGAAAGAGAAGGAGAAGAAGGAGGAAAGGAGGAGGAAGAGGAGGAAAGCCCACCTAAATCAGCAGACTCACCCTGCTGAGCCTAGCCTAGATTGGATGAACCCCACAGAGATATAAAAAATAAACGTCTATTCTTGTATGAGGTTTTTGTGGTTATTTGTCAACCAGCAAAAGCTAAAAGATACAATATCTGAATCACTAGGAATACCTACTGAGAGATCAAAGTGAACAAAAAAACTCAGCTCAAAAATGTAGGATGGGCCTATTAAAATGCAACTAATCCAAATTGGGCAACTATGGAGTAATATTAATCAGCAAATTATACATAACATAAGGATGATTAGAATCACACTGTGTTTTTTTTCCCCACTAGAAATTCTAGTAAAAACAAATAAAAATGCCAAAGGCAAATTCTGAGACAGCATTTTCATTCCTGCCAACCACAGGAAACAGTCTTCGGTAAACCACTGAATGAAAGCCTGGCTTTTATACCTCTGTGCCTTAAGCAGGGAAACCGACAAGCTCGCTTTCTCCGCCAGGTGGCTTCTCCCACCTGGCCCACCCACTGTGGCAGACACCACTGCTAGATAGGAAGCTGGCTCTAAAGTTCCCAATATTCAGATAAGAAGACTAAAGTAATTAAGGGTTTTTAAAACTTTGCCAGACAAGGTGGCCGCGAGTGAAATTCCAGTATAGTAAAAGATGTCAGCATCAAATCCCAAAGCCATCTGGAGCCTTGAAAAAACTATTAGCAAGTCTACATGCCTAAAAAGCATCCCAAAAGTTTATAAATTAGACACGGGGTATAAAACACTCTTTACTAAAAAAAAAATAGTCATTTTCTTTCAGTTTCTTATAGTTTTATTCTTATTTGCTTAAGACAGCGGTTCTCAACCTGTGGGTCACGACCCCTTTGGGGGTCGAACGACCCTTTCACAGGGGTCGCCTAAGACCATCGGAAAACACATATATAATTACATATTGTTTTTGTGATTAATCACTATGCTTTATGTTCAATTTGTAACAATGAAAATACATCCTGCATATCAGATATTTACATTACGATTCATAACAGTAGCAAAATTACAGTTATGAAGTAGCAACGAAAATAATTTTATGGTTGGGGGTCACCACAACATGAGGAACTGTATTAAAGGCTCGCGGCATTAGGAAGGTTGAGAACCACTGGCTTAAGAGAATCACTCTTTCTTAACTCTAGGTCGATAAGAATCTTATGTAGATAGAGATCCCAGGCTTGGGTCTAAATCAGAAGCTGCATTTTGACTGAAAAATGCAAGGTCTGAAAGAGTTTTGAGTTGAGACCCTTATGATCTTCTGGTGTTTCTATGAAGCCTTCTGAACAGTGCCAGGGCGGGGTGGGGCAGCTCCATTCTTGTAACTACAACCACGATGGGGTGGCCTAAACCAAAGCCAGACTTGTTCCCATACTACAATCTTTCATGGCCACGGAGACACTGCCCAAGTACACATCCCATCACGGTGCACCCAGGGACTCTGGTTATAACAAATAGAGTGAGAAATCACATTATAAAGCATCTTTTAATGTATCAGTGGGGTGAAGAGGTGCTTTGAACACAGGAGGCAAAAGAGAAAGGTCTGTACATTCTCCTATTTCCTGGGTTACTACTACCTTTGGATTATTTGAGGGAGAGAGGAAGAGGGGAGGGAGGAGGAAAGTGTAATCACTATTGATTGCCAAGATGAAAACTCCACTCCTCCCTTATTGTCACTAATTCCACCTGCAAACCAGATAGGACCACCCAGGGTGGCTAGAGGAATGCACTACCACCGTACCTGGAGTTGTTCGGGAATGACCACAGGAAAAACCCAGGGAGGCAGACTGAGAAAGCTCTGTTCTTTACCAGGAGGCCCAGCATCAGGGCTGGGCAACCTCTTCATCAACAGCTTAGATCGTTTGTCACCTAAGTAGCTGGAATAAGGGATGGGGATAAAAGTATGGAAACACCACCAACAAAGAGCATCTACTTACAGGCTCCACGAACTCAAACATCTTCCTCTCTTGGACTTCCTGCACCTTGAAGACATACTCCAGGGATACTTCATAGAAATGCTGCCGGACCAGGTCCACTTGACTGTCTGCCTACAAATAGGATGGAATTTCAGAGAAAAATCAAGTCACCTCCCAAGGAGAACATTCAACAAGCAGGCCAGAAAAATCTCTGAAGATAGTTTTTAAAAACAAATCAAACAGAAATAAGAATAATGATAATGGTTAGCTGAGCACTTAACTTTGTGCCAGGCGCTGTGCCATACCTATGTTACCTTATTCAAACCTCATTAATTCTATTTATTTAATACTCATGAAATTCCTGAAAAGAAGATATTATCTTTACCTCTAATTTACAAGAGGAAAATGAAGTACAGGGCAGAGCTGGGACTTCTGTCCTGGTTGATGTGCCTCCAAGGCTCTTGATCGTCTTTGAACCACTAGGCAGTACGGCCTCCCTACACTGACTTCCCTGACTATCCCACAGCCCTGATGTCCTCTCAGCCACTGAGACTGCAACTGAGAAAAGGGTCATTCTGACAATCGGCAAAGTGCCTCCTGCAGTCAGGCAGGATGAAGGAGCCAGAAGAAAAGTCCTCTGAGAAAAACAGTAGCGCCCAGCATCAGGCAGAGAGCTGGCAGAGCAAATGCCTGGGCCGGAGCTGCAGCGCCATTCTTTTCTAGCTGGTGAGACGGGCTCAAGTCCATGGTCCTCTCTGGGTCTCTTCCCCACACCTGGAGGGTGGAAATGAAAATATCTGCCCTTGCTCTGAGCAGAGCTGTTTCAAAGATAAAATGAGCTAAAGGATGAAAACAATTTGAAAACCAGGAAGTGTTCTTTATTATCAGCAGGGACGTCAGAATAGATGGGTTTCCATCCCTGCTCCTACCCTAAACCAGCCACATCATCTCCAGCAGCTACGCTCCTCTCCTAACTGCTCTCCCCGCTTTCATTCTCAGTCTCTCCCTCCCCTTCCAATCCAGAATACCTTCCCTAAAATCTAAATCAGATGTTCTCACAGCCCCTTCAATGCCTTCCTCTAGCCTCCACCATGGTCTGCAAGACCCAGTGTGACCTGCCCACCCGTCCCACTTCACCTCCTCCCACCCCAACCCACCCTCACTGTGCTCCAGCCACTCTGGGCTCCTCGTTGCCCTCCAGCACTCCAAGTCTCCGTCTTGTCTCACAACTTTTGCACTTGGTGTCTGTTCTGCCTGAAAAGCTCTTCCCCTAGATAAATATCCCCCCCCTTTTTTTTTAACTACAGTGCACAATAAGAAATACCTTTGGCATTATTACCTAATAAATATCTATAATAATAAAAGCATAATATGCTAATTAGACCTGACGTCCTTCCGGACGACCTTCCAGACGTCCTTCTAGATGACCTTCTGGACAAAGCCGGGGCTGTGAGGGAAGCCTGGGTACCAGGTGCCTGCCAGCGGCCAGAGGAAAGCCCGGGTCCGGGGTGCCAGAGGGAAGCTGGTGCCAGCAGCCAGGGGAAGGAAGGCCTACTCTTGCACGAATTTCGTGCATCAGACCTCTAGTACATTTATAACTAAATACAAAACACTTCCATATTTTTCATTCTGTCCCAGCCTACTCTACTCTATTTCATGACCCAGTCATTCAGGTTCCACAATTATGGACCACTACCCCAACTTTTCCCTTAGCTCAGGCCTTCTCATCCTTCTGGTCTCCATTCAAGTGTTACCTCTTCAGAGCAGCCTTCGTTGATGACACTATTTTAGATGGGTTACCTCAGGGAGCCTCCATCTTCTCTCCCACTTTATTTCCTTATTACTATGTAACATTATTATTTATTCCTCTCGTTCCTTGTGTACTGATTACTGGAATATAAAATTGTAAGAGCAAAGACCTTGTGTCATTTTCTACTTTTCTATCCCAGTTCCCTGAGGGGTGCCTCACCCATAGTAAAACATTTAGCAGACACTTGAGGAATGAATGAATTGATCTCTATGTGGCCATCAGGACCCAGCTCTCAGAACAGACACGTAACTGAATGTGATTCCAAAGGAAAAGGGAGAAAAAAAATCCCATATGGAATGGTATGTGTCTCCTGCCAATGTCCCCACTCATCTGGGCCATAGAATTCACCACATCCTTAGCTCCCCCTGCAATGGAATTGTAAGCCAGGATTCCAACCCACCCAGCAAGCCACTCAAGACAGTTTCCCTGCCTGTTACTTGAGAAACTAAATCTACCAGTTTGTCTGAGACCCATCAAACCATTCTGTGCTTCCTGGAAAAGAGACATTCTCCTAGAACAGTGATGGCGAACCTATGACACGCGTGTCAGAGGTGACACGCGAACTCATTTTTTTGGTTGATTTTTCTTTGTTAAATGGCATTTAAATATATAAAATAAATATCAAAAATATAAATCTTTGTTTTACTATGGTTGCAAATATCAAAAAATTTCTATATGTGACACGGCACCAGAGTTAAGTTAGGGTTTTCAAAATGCTGACATGCTGAGCTCAAAAGGTTCGCCATCACTGTCCTAGAAGGTAAGTTCCATGAAGGCAGGTCACTCATTTCAGCCCCACAATTTACCCAATGCCTGAATAGACTTTTTTCACAGAAGTGTGCAATGACCATCTATTGAACAATACTGTCTTTGAAGTAGCTTCAGAACCGCTAAAGAATACACTGATTTTTAAAAAGTCATCCACTAGATGGCAGCAGTGTCATTCCACATTGCTGCCCTATAATTTCACCCACCAGGGCTAGCATTTATAAGTATTGGTTTCAGAGCCCTGCAATCAGGGAACAGTTCTGGATAATCAAAGGAAATAGACTTCATTAAATGTGTATTAGGTGTTTAATAATGATCCTAAAAATTGATTTTTATATAAATATGAAGTATCACTAAATAGCTGGAAGACCTTGAGCAAACCACTAGACTTCTACAAGAAACTCAGTTCCTTCAAAGGTAAGTTCAGGAGGCTCAACCAGATGACCACCAAGGTCCCTCCATCTGGCCAGTCCTAGTTGCTTGACACACGTTAATGACAATGGCAGGTAGGCAGCAGAGCACCATCCCTCTCTCCTAAGACACAGAGAGTAACACAGAAGAGCTTACTGCGTTAAAGGAAAGGGCTCCACAGTCAGGAGCCAGGGTTCAAATCCTCGCTGACTAGCTACGGGCAGACTAGTAAACATCTCAGAGCCTCCGCTTTCTTATATGTAAAATAATGGGAATAAATCTGTACCGCATAGGGTGGCTGTGAGGAGTTGAAAAGATTCCTTGCAAAATGCTCACCACAGTACCTGATACATGAATATGCATTCAACATGTGCACTGGCCAGGGCTCACAAGAAAGACCTTTAGCCCACCCCTTGCCCTCAGTGTACTCAGAACGTATGAATGGGTAACAGACAAGAACACAAAGGAATGTAACAAAGAGCATAATGAAAAAATATCCACGAAGATATATACTGGCAAAGCCTGTGCTACAGACTGAGTGCTGGTGCCCTTCCCCATCAATTCATATGTGAAACCTAGTCCCAATGTGATGGCACCTGGATGTGGGGCTTTGGGGGTGATTATGTCATGCGGTGAAGTCCTCATGAATGGGATTACTGCCCTTATTAAAGAGACCTGGAGAACTCCCTTACCCCTTCGGACCATGTGAGGACATAGCAGGAAGACAGCTGTCTGTACACCAGGAAGCAGGCCTCACCAGACACCAATTCTGCCAGCACCTTAATCTTGGACTTCCCAACCTCCCGAACGGAGAGAAATAAATTTATGTTGCTTAAAAGCCACCCAGGCTATAGTATTCTGTTATAGCAGCTCCAACAGATGAGGGCAGTCAAGTGGAACACCATCCAGCCCTGACCAGTGTGACTCAGTTGGTTGAAGCGTCATCCCATGCACCAGAAGGTTGAAGGTTCAATTCCAGGTCAGGGCACATACCTAGGTTGCAGGTTTTGATCCCCAGTCAGGGAGCATATGGGAGGCAATCGATCAATGTAGCTCTACCCCCCAACCTCGCTCCTTCTTCCTTCTCTAAAATCAATTTTTAAAAAAAAAAAATTTTTAAAGAAAAAAGAAATTACCATTCAATTTGGGAATAGGGGATGAAAAACAGGTCAGTCATAGGGATAATTCTCTATACTTGTGTAGCAGCTATAATTTGTCTTCTCATACATGAAGTAGGCAGGATAGGTATTTCATGCGTATTTTACAAAGGGACTACAGCTCAGAGAGATGAGTACTTGTCCCAGGACAGAACCTAAGTGGAACTATATATTTATCCTATAGAATCACATATCCTGAGGTATCGTCTAGTGCCCATATCCCCACGTGGAGTTGTGAATAGCCTTTACATAACATGAAGTGAAAATAAGCATTTCTTTAGCTTTCTCTGTCACATTTGATTTACCCAAGTAGCTGTGCTATTTAAGAATCACCTCCTCATTCATTTGCTTTTACAGTTCGCACCAATTACTCAATTGCTGTTGGTTGGTTGGCCCGAACTGGTCTGCAAAGTCCACTATAAACACTAGTGGCTGGAGATGGTACTGAGTTCTCATCGTCATTCAAACAATTGGTTTAAATACCCAAGCAAGGAGTCCTGAGAACCACACATCCCTAACCGAGGATGTCTAACAAATCCTGGTTGGGAGGGGTTCAGACTCCACTGTCTCCTGAGTTGTCTTCATCTTTCAACTTTTTTTTTTTAAATATATTTTATTGATTTTTTACAGAGAGGAAGGGAGAGAGATAGAGAGCTAGAAACATCGATGAGAGAGAAACATCGACCAGCTGCCTCCTGCACATCTCCCACTGGGGATGTGCCCGCAACCCAGGTACATGCCCTTGACTGGAACCGAACCTGGGACCCTTCAGTCCGCAGGCCGACGCTCTATCCACTGAGCCAAACCGGTTTCGGCCATCTTTCAACTTTTGACCCTACCATCTTCATATGAACTTTCAATTCATAAAAGTACTGACATGCTATTTACTAAAAAAAAAAAAAAAGGAAATTTAAGAAAGAGGGCTGGCTTGAAAACCATAGCTGCTCTTTACGTTACTTGAGAAAGGTCAGCAAATTGTTAAGAGTTAAATAAAATGACATTCATGTAGCCAGATTTGGAGTTTCACTATGACTGTCTTCCAGAAATGCAAACTCCCTTGCCATGTAAACCTCCATGAACAAAATAAACATGGTCACTGTGCCAGGGCCGCAAACTGGCTTTTCTTTCCAAGTGAACTACTCTTATAAAAGACCCCATGCAAATCCAGAAAGACTAGGGGCAGGTCAGAGAATTGACTTTTTTCAAACAAGGTTACCAAACCACAAACCATACGAGTGGTAATAAAGTCGTGCTTTAAAAAAAAAAAAAAAAAAAGATTAATGTCAAATACTGGTTGAAATAGATTTTTTAAATTAATATTATGGGAGAAGGACCAAAGCATTTCAGATGCTAACATTTCAAATCACTGACATAGGCAGAAAGTCAAAGGTGACGTACTAGTAATAGAGTATAGAATGAAGGTCAAGGGGGAAACAGGAAAAGAGACTTCAGTTTGCAAGACAGAAGCACATTCTAGTGATTAGGGCTCCCCAACAAGGAAGAGGGTTATCTTGACCAGCAGCATGTTCCTCTGCCCCTGACAGGCTGGACAGCCACCAAAGGGGGTGGTGTGGGTGGGATGATAGAAAGGCCATCCAGGCATCGGATCAAGCTCCTGGTTTCCGAGGTCTCTTTCAAACCTAGGACTTTCTGGCAAAGAGTAACCAGTACATATCCCAGCACCATGTAAAATTAAACAGTTTATTCAGAATACTAGTACAATTTCTTACCTCCTGAAGCTGAGATTCTTTCTTTTTGGAAGACAAATTCAAGTGTTTTTCTAAGATTCCACAATACTTCTCTGTCTCCTTGTCATACTTCTTTTTGGCTTCCTAGTAGAAAGAGAAAAAGATTAAAATGTTGCATGAACTAAAGCAAGCTGGGTCAAACTTTCTGCTCATCTTCATGGCTTCATTATTCCCTCAGACACAGGACAACAGCAGACAATCCCACTCCTACTCTTCAAGTAATACCCATTAAATCAAGCAACCGCCCATCAATAGGCTGAGAGCTTTGAGTGTCCATCATTGAGGCACCGCCATAGTGCCAGAAACAAGGTAAACACTAGTATTTCATAGAGACAAAGCCAGGACTCCACAGTCTAAGAACTTCAATTGTGAAATAGAAATTTCTAGTTTCTAACTCACAAGGAGGTTCAAAGCCAGATGAAGGAGGGAAGTTACCTGTGAAGATAATCTCAAAGTAGAAGATCTACTTACAGCTTAAATGGGACAAGTCTAGACTGACGAAGATCCAGCTTTAATAGTGTTCAAAAAGTACTTATTGTAAAGAATCAAATATCCCTTGATGCAATAATATCACAATCAGGTCTGTACGCTGAAGAATAACTCAAAACCAAGAAGGCATTATCTCCACAAATGTGTCCATTGCAGCATCATTAATCACAGGAGACACACACACACAGAGAAAGGGGAGAGAGAGAGACAGACAGACAGACAGCAACAGTGGCAGTAACATTACTGCCCAAGGTTAAGATTTGGGATAATTGAAGTATAGAACATCTTACATATACAACTGGGAAGGCAAGGCATTAATATGGAAAATTTCTCACCACAGAATGAAAAGCAATAATAGCATGATATAAACTTGGTACATCCTATATTGAGTGTATATACCTAGAGCAGTGATGGCGAACCTATGACACGCGTGTCAGAGGTGACACGCGAACTCATTTTTTTGGTTGATTTTTCTTTGTTAAATAGCATTTACATATATAAAATACATATCAAAAATATAAATCTTTGTTTTACTATGGTTGCAAATATCAAAAAAAATTCTATATGTGACACGGCACCAGAGTTAAGTTAGGGTTTTTCAAAATGCTGACACGCTGAGCTTAAAAGGTTCGCCATCACTGACCTAGAGACAAAGATTAGATGGGAAGATTCCAAAATGAAAATACTTGAGGTAAGGCAATGGAATAATGCATGCTTTTGCCCCTCCATTTAGGATATTTTTATTGTCCTATATTAATGGCTTTTAAAATGAAAAATAATGTAAATATCATAATACACATAATAATCCCTACAATCCCACCACATGCTTGAGTCAGTAAGGTTCTATATTTATCTCCCATTTACAGATGAGAAAAACTTAGACCCAGGGACATTAACTTGTAAAAAGCTGCAGAGAGTGACAGAGCTGGGATTCGAGCCCAGGACAAGCTGCCTCCAAAGCCCACGTCTCAACCACACTTGAGACACACTGTCACAGGCGTCTCTTCCTTCTATATCCCAATGGGGATGGGTGGGAGAAGGTTGGCACCGGCCTGCTAACCAGGATCAAATTTACTAACTCCGTGCATCGTTCTTGCTTTTAAGTATGTGGAGCCCACAGAGGATTTTTCTGCAACTCCAAGGCCTCTAACAGATGAAAATTTTTCGCAGCCAGATAAGAAAACTCAGAGACATCTCTATTCATTTAATTAAAATATAACACGAAACCACTCTGTGTTGGGCTCTTTTAGGCACTGAAATACAAGACAGCAGCAGTCCCTACCCTCATGATGAGGATGGTCCAGGAGAAGAAACACAGCCACTGAACAAATAAACAGCATAATTATAGACTGCCACAGTGCTAGGAAGGAAATAAACAGGGTTCTGGCACAGAGATTCTGCAGGTAGGGTGCTCAGAAGAGGCCCCACTGGGGAGGGGAGGTGGCAGCTGAGACCTGCTGATACCGTGAGGGGCCAAGTGGAGGCTTCTAGAGCAGGAGAGCAGTAAGTGCTCCGGACAGAACACAGCCAAAGTGGCACAAAAATCACCAAGAAGCAGTCACCTGAAGCCTCGACAAGCTCCTGTGATGTCAGACACCATTTATCTGGTGAAGAGCAAACCTCTAGGCCTCACAAATTGAGCAGAATGATCATCTATTCAATTTTAGCTGATGCGCACCCATTTCTACAAATCTGAATTTTGCTTAAAAGGCTATTTACATACAAGAAAAATGAAACATGCAGAAGCAAATGAAGAAAAGCCCAAGGAGACATTACTCCTTCAAATTTGAGAGGTACAGGCAAGACACTTGACTCAAGCAACCTTCTCCTTCATGGCTCTGAGCTGCGGCTCCATGTCCCAGTTAATGCTCACTTAGCCACTCCACCAGCCCTGCCAGACATCCCAGACAGGAGAACCCTGTGCCAGGATAGTGCAGCTAACCAGAGGTGAGAAAAGGCTGGGAACATGAGTCACTGGAATCCCATGACTTTCTGGCAACTTGAGCCTCCACATTCCATGTTCAAGAGGACAGCCAAAGCGAAAGAGAAAGAGACGCAGGGCTGTCCAAGCCACAACAGGACCTCTGGGGGAATTAACACTAAGATTTACGTAATGCTCTTAAGATGGGAGAGTGGTATTACTCAGTTACTCAGCGACAGGATGGTGTTCATCTTCCAGGGCATCCACGGTGGTGGCTAAGGGGATGAAGGACAGAGTAGGATCCTACAGTCCCAGCTCTATATGGATTTACTCTAAACAAACCACTGCCCCTCTGCAGGACGTGGTATACTAGATGTTATCTTACACTGAGGGTGACTGCATGAGCTAATTCCTCAGGTTCCTCATTCAGCTCAAAGACTGACTAATAAAATAAGGATAAGGACACCCACCTCCTCATAGGATTGTTAGGACTAAATGAGATAAACCATGTACAATGCTTAGCAGAGTACCAGGCACATGGAAAGTGTGTAGTGAATCTCAGTGATGCTGACCAAGATGATGGTAGCCGTGGTGGCGATGGCAATGATGAAGTCCAGCATCTAAACCTACCTCCTTCTTATGGGGAACACCACCTGCTTTCCATGGCACTTGGCCCAGGATGGTAACCCTTCATAGCACACTTGGAGGTTGCATTTTACTTATATCTCTGTGCCTGATGTCTTTCTCCCCAGCCACACCATGAGCACAGAACCACACCTGTGCTTATTCTCTACCAGACGCCAGTGTATAGCGCAGGGCCAGGCACACAGCAGGCTCTCGCTCATTTTGTTAATGAATCAACTATGTGTATGGAATATAATAACTAACATCAATAACTATATGACAGACACTGTTCTAAGCACTTTATATGAGTTCCCACATTTCTCCCTTGTAATAACTGTGAGGTAAGTACTATTGTGATCCCTGCTTTGTAGCTCAGGACATGGGCATGGAGCAGTAACCTCCTCAAGTTTACATCCAAATGGCAGAATGAGAGTTGGACTCAAGCAACCTAGCTCAAGTGTCCACACCTAACCACTGCTCACCAATGTCTATTCTACTTTCACTGGAGAGCACAGCTAGGGCTGCAGGAAAAATAAGCTCCCCCAAACTCAGAACTCTAAACGTCGTAGGGCCATGGTCACACCGAGCTGCAGGGTGGCACCTACCCGAGAAGCCACACTGGCACAAGAAAGCCCAGAAGCCCACCTCCCTAGCAGCCTTCACACCCCACACTCTAACTGCAGTGTCTTGCAAGTAGCAACAGCTTGTTACAGCAACGGAAACAGCACCAGAGGGGACAAGAGGAGGAAGGGTAATTTTAACATCACACAGGCAGAGTTCAGAAACTTGAACTTAGCCACTAAACAGCTTTCGCTGGATCTTAACTGTTCTTAAACCTTCTCTCTAGATCACTAGTACAGGGTTTGTTGTTTCTTCACTACCTCTGAAATGTATGGAGGGGTAGAGAGGAACAGGTATACTGAAAGAAAGAAATGACAAAGGAGGAGCGATGAGCAATCATCCCCAACATCACCACATTATTCTTCATCAGGAATGAGAGAATGGAATGTGTATGCGCAGAAACGTGTTTTGGTGAGCAACCATTTTTCTTAAAATTTTTAATTCTCGTATTTCTCACCATTATAGCCCCTGCCCCCACCACCCAACCTGGAAAAGTACCTGCTCCTGTCATTCTGATCAATGCTATTAACCCAAAGGGAGCCCCACACAGGCTTCCGCTCCTCCCCCGTGCTAACTGATAAACCTTCAAACCAGCGCCGACAGGAGAGGCCAGAGTGAGAGGCGTCTGTGCTCAGAGCGAGAAGTGACTATTGGAAAGATGACTCAGTGCACAGGTCCGCTCTGCCTCCGCCGCAAAGCTCTTCAGAGCCTCCGGAGCCGCTGCCACGTGTCTTCAGGAGTGGGAGGCACAGGCCCCAAAGCCACTAAAGAGAACTTGCTCACTGGGCCTGCGTCAGCGAGGACAGGGGAGGAACACTCCCCAGGAACACTGGGTTTGCTCAAAGTCTTGGACAAAATCCTAATGAAACAGACATCCCTTTAAATTAGGCATTCCTTAATCTCTGATACAAAAACCAATACTCTCCAATTTCTTCATAAATGTAAACTGTAAAATTGATAGAAAAGTGCTGTAGAATTAGGAGAAAAATATTTGTCGTGGTTCCTCCTTCAAAGAATAACTGAACTGAGCATCATCTCAGGCCTTGATATATTCATTTTTAGAAAGCAGATGCACTTGGGGGTTGGGGGAAAGGGGAGAAGACCCCACTTCTTACATTTCAGCTATCCATTTCCCACCAACAGGCACCTCTCAAGACCATTTCACAACTGAGTCAAATCCATAAAACAGGTCAGAGTGTGATGCTGCCCAAAACATCCTGCAGGTGGCGCAAGGGACTGTGGCTAAAGGACACAGTTTGGAAAAGCAACAAGAAAATCTGGAAAATCCTCCTACTTTCATTGATTCCAATGAAAACATCTTCCCTGCAGGTGGTCTCTAACACTCTACTGAAGGTCAAACTAGCTAGGGCTTCTAGTGATTTCTCACAGGGCGAGAAACCCGGGAGAATCCACCTCTTAAACATGAACAAGACTCCCTTTGCGGTCTTTCAGTAACACAATAGAATCAGCCAAGTTTGGGCTACAGTCCCACCAAGCCAGTGACAACAAATGGTGACCTCTGGGCTGTAGCAGTCCCACTTTTTGACATGCACAATGTGTAATATATATTTTTAATTATTTGCCAACATTTTTTTTGGAAACCAGGCCATTTCATATAAAACTCTGACTTTTCAGTTTGTCTTAAAAAATGTAAAGGTCTAGCGAGAAAACTCACTTGCACACACAGCCAAAGTGAGCTAAGAACAGCGTGCCACAATCACAGGGCCCAATCTGTCACCCGTGTTCTAGGTTCCGAGTCCTGGACCTCACAATAAATATAATCAATCCTATGTTGTCCAAGCACATAGGTATCTAGCTACTAACACAGAGGAGGCATGGTTTCTATATTCTGGACAATTTATGAACTAGCGCAGGATGATTAGATAACAAAATACTAGAATGACTGCTCTGGGGATGAGCACACAGACTGTCTTCAGACACTTGTGAAGAACTAGGTTCCAGGCTTATCCGCCCAAGATTTTCTGAAGAAGGTGTGTTTTTCCAGACCTCCCGCCCTAAAATCCAAGAAGAAGAATTGGAAATTTCTCACCTTGGCAGCCCCAATCTGCTCCTTCCGAAACTTCTCCAAGGGCGTGATGAGCACGTCACTGGCATTCTCAATCTGGTGGGGCGGGGGGAGACGCAAGAGCAGTATCAGTAAAGAATCAGAGCAGTTCTGGCACAAAATGCCTCCCATGTCTCCACCTAAAATGTGAGTAAGCAACACCATGCATGTGGAAACTGTTCACAATACTTGAAACTGACAGCATGTCAAGTCAAAGTCTAGTCATCAGTTCAAAGCATGGTATTATTCCCAGGCAGGATTAAAATTGATTGTTTAGAAAGAAAAATTAGGACCTCTAAAAATGTAAGCAACCAATTGAAGGTGGAGGGAAACTAGTGACAAGGTAGGATCTAAATTTCAAGCTTCCAGTGACATCTTGGAAATGCTTATTCACCCAAATTATATTTAAGCAGATATATTTAAAGCAGATCAACACTGAGTCTGGATTATAAACAAATAGAGCACCTGATATCTGGCGGCATGAAACCCTGCCATCTGGATTTGGTATAGACCTATACCACTACTGGACTATGATCAGGATGCTTGTAGTTAACAAGCATGACCATGGACAAAACATTTAACCTGGCTGCCTCTCGATTTCATCTCACAGCCTCACCTCCTCAGGTCCTGCACTCCAACTATACCATCACCGGAAGGTACCTCAAATAGCAAACCTGTCCCACTTCTAGGTCTTTGCATTTTGCTGTTAACTCACATGCTCTGCCCCCAAATCCCCGTGAGGACGACTCATTACATAGTGCAATTCAAGTTTCAGCCCCAAGGTCACCTCTTTAGGGAGGCTTTCCATGACCACCAACAGAATCCAAAGAAACTTCCCAACAACCCACCAAGGGTTTTCTTCAGAAGACAAAAGCCAGCTAAAGTTTTCTGTTCACCACTACACAACACATACACACACACACACACACACAAGAACGCACGCATGCATATACGCACACACCCTCATGTAAATGCTCACTTATCCACCACCATCCCCAAAACACAGAAGAATCCTAAAACAAAGGAACACTCAAATATGTTTCAATGACTCCATGAATGAATGAATGATTTCTTGATTGGCTGCCAACTACATGACCATGGACAAAACATTTAACCTCTCTGGGCTCCAATTTCCTCGCCTACAAATAATTGGGCTTGATTGTTCCAGCTCTAAGATTCCATGGTCTTTTGTAAATCAGTACAATATTTCATAATCTTTCCTCTTAAGTCATTCGCTGCTTATTCGTTGCTCAACTAATTATTTCAAGAATCTCATTTGAACAAAGCTTTATTTTTCTAAATCACATGCATATCCATTGCAATGCGACCAACAGAGGACATGCCAGAAGCACACATGGACACAGAGAGACCTAACTGGACAAAGTGAGGGGTAGAAGGTGGCAGATCTCCAAATTCGTTGCCATTTGCCTTTTTCTCAATGTTGAGGCCACTTATTTTAGTAGAGAGCAATGCTGGAATTGTGCAGTGTTATTTAACTTGTTTGATTTTGTTATTTGATATGACTTAGTTGGCTCACCTGTTTAACTCTTTTCCACAAATCAAGTGTAAGTCCCTAAAGCCCACAACTGTGTCTGAGCCCCTAAGTCAGTGGTTCTCAGCTTCAGTCGCATATTAGGCTCACCTGGGGAGCTTTTAACTATTTCTATGTCCAGGCCACACGCGAAACCAAATAAATCAGAACTCTATACTTCATCCCAGGCATCAGTATGTTTTAAACTCAAGTTGTTCCAAAGGGCATCCATGATTGACAATCTAGCCCTAAGTAAATGCTAAATATAGAAAAGCAGTAGCCGCTCACCTGGGACTCAGAATGCCCAAGTCCTTGCCCCGGTTCTTCCACTGCTTGCCATCAGCCTTCGTAAGACCTCAACTTTCTAATCTGTCAAATGAGGGACTGCAGAGGTGAGGAATAAGGTTCTCCTGGGTCTATGATTCTATGATTGTGTAATTTCCACTCAGTTCCACACACTGTACAAATATCAGGAACACAGTAGCCCTTCAAGGACTCTATTTACGATGGGACACGTGCAGCGATCATCAGGAAATTGTGCTGAATGCAGAATTAGAGGCATGAAGTAGATATTAAGAGAATACAAAGGATGGCCGAATATCTCAGGGCATTAGGGAAGGCTTTCCAAAGAAGGTGCAGCTTTGCTAAGCTGAGCTGAATTGGTGATGAAGCTGTCACAGGGCGAGGAGGTAGGGAAGGGGCTTGCGATGGCCAGAGACTCAGATGCAGACAGTAGAAACTCGACTCACTGACATTAATAATAAAATTGCAGAGGCAAGCTGAAAAGTACAATAATCCAGTCATTGTTCCCTTGCTGCAGGCCATAGCAATCTGCGGGGTATTATCGTGATTTGCTCACCACACCACCCACCTCCAAATACTGGCTCGGCCAAGAATCAGACTCCAAAGAATCATTTCCCTTTCTCAGGCACTAGCACGTGCACAAACACAGCTTTCCCGGCCTCCACCCACCAGCAACCCTGCTGCTGCTGCCACCCCCACCTGATTCTGGCTCAGGCGCCCAGCAATGAGCACTCAAGGAAAACAGTGTCTCTCTGCAGGGCAGAAGGTGAGAGAGGCTTCTGCTCTGTTTGGCATAACACATTCTTTGGCATAACACATGCTTGGGTTTGAATCTGGACCATGCCACTGTGTGACCTTGGGCATGTTGCATAACCTCTTTAAACCTCAACACCTTCATCTGGACAATAAGGATGATACAGGCACCACCTCACAGAGTCATCATGAGGGTTGAAATGGAAAACATGTGGCTACATAATGTCTTGGTGGGTGCGAAGGACTAACTTGCATCTCCTGCCCCACCCTCACCCCAATTCATGTATTGAAGCTCTTACCCTGGCAAATTAATTAAACAAGGGGCCATTGGACCAACGTGGCTCTAATGCCTTAGTAGCCTACAACAGCAACCCAAGACCTAAGCCTGTGAATACCTCAAGGTTAAGAAATCAAAACCTAATAATAAGTAATCGCAAACAAAGAGGCTTTCCCAAATAAGGCAACCATTTAAGCGATAGCCAATTAAATAATTTATTTGCTTTGCTTCCGCATTTCTTTATTACTCTTTCCCCAGGCTCCTGTAGCTAGAGCACTCCCACTACTTCCAGGCTGGTGCTACCCAATTTGAATTGATTTTTGCTCACATAAGCTCTTACAAATTTAATATGCTTTAGTTTATCTTTTAATACCCACAATGTGATAGCACTTGAATATGGGATCTCTTGGAAGCTAACTAGGTCTTGAGGGTGGAGTCCCCCTGATGGGATTAGTGCCCTTGTAAGAAGAGACCTGAGAGCATCCCCACCCTTTCTCTGCCCTGTGAGGAAACAGTAGGAAGGCTGCCATCTGCAAGCCAGAAAGAGAGCCCTCACCCAGAACCACAGCAGTCAGCCCCTTGATCTTGGATTTCCCATTCTCCAGAACTGTGAGAAATAAATCTTTGTTGTTTAAGCAACCCAGTCTATGGTATTTTGGCAGCCCAAGATGACCAAGACAGGAAATTTAGTGTCAAACCATTTCAGTTGTTAGCATGGGAAGAGAAAAAAAATGTTCATTAATGGACTCTTCCCCCAGCCTCTGGAGCCCTCCTGAGTGAGGACAAATCAACATACAGCCAGCAAGGGTTTCAAACCAGGCCTCAGAACTGATATCTTAGGGATATGGTATCCTGTGGATATGGAATCCCTCACCTGTTAATGCTGAACCACATCAGAATAAATTCTTATGCAAAAGAGATCTCTTAAGAACCTGAAGGTCAGCCTTTGGTCCTTGAACTTCACAGTGCCTCTCTTTGAAGAACTTTTTAGAGCTACCATCACTTCTAAGTTCCCATTTACTGGGTGCCTTCTACACGACAGGCACTGTTAGGAGCTTCAGAATTAGAAGTGAAGGAGTGACCCTGCCCTCCAAGACCTCTTGGATAAATTTAATAAGGGGATACGGGGAGTTGCAGAGTGGGGCACCTTCGTTCCCATTCTGCCAATAGAAAAATCTAAGTCCCCAAAGAGTTAAATCATTGTAAAGATACACCCAGAAGTCATATACCTTATATATACACATTACAGTGAATTTTTAGAAGGGCAAGGAAGTCATTCTCAAGTTATCCAAGTACATATATCCTATGTTTTAGAGAAGGCTTCAAACCCTGCAAAGATGAGAAGATAAGGCTTGCCCAAGATCTCAAAGCACGCAAGGAGAAGAGCCTGAACCCAAGCCCAGTTCTTCTGATAACAAATCCTGTGCTCCCTACATGTGACCACACTATCTGGGACCAAGAGTAGCCCAGCAGTACTCACCATCCGTATCCGTTCATCTTCAAGATTCCTGAGAACACTGGCAAACTCCTGCAAAGACCTTGCTGGAAAAGAGAAAGGGGCCATGAGATGGAAGTTGACTAACGGACCTTCGGGAGCCTTTCCAGATACAGCTATCATGTTATGCACTGAACTCCCTTGGCACAAGCAGGAGCCTAAAGTCAATTGTTTCCCAAGGCTCCCTTTATCTTTTCATCATTAACCATCAAGGATGACCCAGAAATGCATGTTAATTCCACCTGGCACTTCAGCTAGGGAAGGATTTCCTTCAAGGAAAAGACTGGCCAGTTCCTGAGAGTACCCAGAACTGATGAGATGCTGGCTGGCTCCCAGACCCCGGGCTAGAAGGGGCAGAGTTCCGCTTAAGAGTTGAAGGATTTCCTGCCCAGGATTCGACCTCCTCAACCTTTGTTGTGGGCCTGCGTCAGAACACAACCTTTTCTTTGGCACTAGAACTAAACAAACAGTGCTGCTGGCACTGGAAGCCACATCCCTGGCTTCTCCATGGGTTCCTCCTGCATCCCCAAGCCACTTATAAATGCAATACACAGCTTGCAGCATGCTGGTCAGAGGGGGAGAATCTCTTGTGCTACAATTATTCCCAAAGGCAACAGGCATTAAGTGCAATAGCCCTGAGGATATGTGGAGCATCTGTATAATGTTGGGGAAGGCATCCATGTATTCAGGATTTACAACAATGATGGATTTTCACTGCTCTCAGATGTCTCCCAACTGCCTGTGCTCATCCCCAGATCCTGGTGCTCTGCAAGGCAACAGGAACTCAGTAAGTATTTGATGACTGAATTAATTCAATATAACATTCTTAATTCTTGCTCACTTCATGGGGTCAACCAACATGCCCAATGTAAGAAGAATAAAGAGCAACGACTAGGCCCTGGCAAAGAAAGGTGTCCTGGCATTGCAAATTCTCAGTGCCCAGCGTTGCCTACAAAAGGCAGACAGGTGATGGTGAAGAGTGAAGCAGCACAGTGAGGTGATAAATGGTAATCCCACCATCGGCCTCTCGTTAGAGAAACAAAAGGGAGAGGTGGGGAGCATTGTGAGCTACACACTGAGCGCCTCTCCCCATTTGAAGACAACAGCAGCTACGTAGCTCCAGCCGACTGTAGCCAGGCAGAATGTGGGGCCAGATGATCCGATTCTCCAGTGTTCAAAGAAGCTGGAGAACGGAAACTTCAGGATAAATTCAATCTATATGGTAATTCAATTAAATAAGTGAGTGCCAAAGAAAACATGGCTGCATTCTGATCTCAACCCATGAGCTGGCATTTGAAACCTCTGATCTAATTCTTCCCTCATCCACCTGCGTTCTGCTTTTGCTCAAAGTTCTTAGCACTGTGGCTGTGGGGAAGAACGGCACAAGAGCAGCCAGAAGCAGAACACTAAAGGGAGGGGAGAGGAGAGCCCCACTACAAACGGTCAAGCTTTCTCATGCAGGCGGAAGGTGAGAGAGGCAACCCCAGAGCTCTGAGGAGCCTAGAATAGCCCCAATTCCTGATATTCGCTCAACTCTACCCTCTCCGCTGTAATTGTAATTTATGACACTTAGATTCTTCTTATCCCCAGAAAAAGGCTCAGCAAGGACAATGGAAGTTGTGATAAACAGCACAGTTATGACTTACCTATACACATTTCATCATCTGTTTCTGCATCTCCTATGCACTGAAATTTAAATTCATTTAAGGAATCTGCAAATTTCCTCTTCGCTGAAGACAAATCTAGTAAGAAAAAAAGAAATGTGAATTACTGAAATGAACTGGTTTTCTTATTTGCTGCACTTTTTAGTCCTTCCAGTACTATAGCAACTAGCAGATTTCTTCCTGAGTCCGTTTCAAAGCACAAAAGAACATAAATTCAAAATAGTAAACATTTGTTTATAACATAACATGCTGATTTGCTTTAGAAGTTAGTATGTTTGTTGCATTTGCTTTAACAATCTTGGCCCTATTTCTAATTCCTCCAGCTATACAGCAAGTCCTCCTTCTCCATATGACA